CGGGAGGGGCTGCGAGAAACTCGGACCTGCGGCGCCTGAGAACTTTTTCCCTTCAACTCCCTTGACTGAAGCCGGACAGCCAGTTGCCTTTCCCCTCCCCCTTTCTCTTTTATTTCCTTTTCTTGTTCCTTCCTTCCTCCCTTTCTTTTTCCCGGCGGCGGCTGCGCCCGACTGAGACAGAAACTCGCCTCAGACGCCAAAACTAAAGTTGAGAGAACCGCCCGCCCGAGCCGCTGGCGGGCTCCGCCTCCTCCCGGCTCTTCCTTCCTCTGCGCGCCCGCCCGCGCCGAATCTGCTGCCGGCCTCGGAGGAAAACTTTCCCTGCAAGTTACTACATTCCTCCAGACTCCCGGCCTCCCACTCCTCTCCCGGCCTCACGTGATCAGTTCGTCCTCCATCCAGTCTTCCCCTAGCGCTTCACCGAGCAGGGACCTGTGTAAGGCTCCTTGAGAAACTTTTTTTAGTTCGGACCCCCCAGATCTCTGCAGACGGCTGGGCCGCCTTTGGCCGCAGGAAGTCCGCCCACCCTGCCTGGCCCCTTCCCGGCCAGCGGTCAGGACAGACTCTGAGCGCGCATGAACAAATGAACTGACCCAGGCCGAAAGAAATCGGGAGAGAACGTGGACAGGCACTTCACTCGCACCCGGCGGAGTGGCTGTCCGCGCTTAAAGCCGCAAAGAGGTTCCAGTTAAAAATAGATACCATTAACAGGCACCGATCTTTAATAAAAGTCCATTTTAAAACATTAATTTTGTAATTTTTTCACTTACCTTTAATTTGGAAAAAAAAACTTGGAATAAATGATTGCTGTAATTAAAACTTTGGGAGTAGGTCTATAACCCAATGTATTTTACTAAAAAAAAAAATTAAGTTGAAAATCTCTTCAGCTTTTTTAAGCAGTGAAATTTGCAACGTAGTCACTGGAAATCTCAACACACAAACATCTAAAATCAGTGCTTAACTTCAGGAACAAACATTCCTCTGTACTTATCTTTCATCCTGGAGGCGCTGGGAGCCTACCTCTTAGTTGAATTTCTAATGTGAAATAAGAAGAATAAATGGGTGAGGAGGTCACCGTGTTTTACATGCGAGGAGTCCATTTGGAATCTCAAAAACAATGGAATTTTATTTTTTTAAATTATACACTTCTTTTGGGAAAGAAACTTTACGGAGATAAAACTTACCGTACAGTTGG